CACATCCCTATTAATTATTATTTCAGCGATTAATCAGTTCGTATGTACTGGCTACAGAAGTACAGTTAAAGCATTTTTAATTAAATAAATTCAGGTTTAATTTTGAGTAATTTGTATATTTGGAGGGGAAAAGTCTATTTGAGGAATTTAACTTAAAAAGAAAAACTGATGAGAATCAAAGTTTCTTCCCGTTTCTCCCAGACAGAACGAGGCGTTCCTGCGGTGACATTATCAATGTTGCTGCTTTTGGACCCACCAGAGCTGACGATGATGATGGTGGTGGCAGCGGGTTCTTCAGCGCCACAGGCAGGTCGAACTCCGCTACGCTGAACTGAAACACGAAGCAAACAGCTTTAGTTGTGTCTTCGTCTCCGACTCGGCGGCTGCTCATCCGGCGGTCCTCACAATGTAGGGCTTTATCTGGCAGCTGATTGGCTTGTAGGTGTGATTGGTGAAGGCCCCCGACCCCCCCTCTGCTACCACCAAGACCGAGTTGAAGTAGTCCTCTGGCTTCAGCTGGGAGGAGACACAAACATCAACTGAGCCATAAAATCCTACAGAAACACCGACACTTGAAGGCAACGTGCCTGGATAAGATTAAAGCTGCAGGAACTTAATAAAATGTTTTAGTGACAACTGTCACCATGTTCCGGAAACAGCCAATCAGAGCCAGGAGGTGGGTCTTAGCGCTGTCAATCACAATCTCGTGTGGCGCTGCTCATCCCTTTGTTCTCTGCTACGCTGCTGCTAGCATAGCTAGCCTGTTACAATCATCAGTTAATCGCAAGAAAAATTAAAACTAGCACAATAGTTTCCATTTGCATGACCACCAGAACCCGGCGGTACCATCAGATCCCAGCGGTACCACCAGAACCCAGTGGTACCATCAGAACCCAGCGGTACCACCAGGACCCAGCGGTACCACCAGAACCCGGTGGTACCATCAGGACCCGGCGGTACCACCAGGACCCAGCGGTACCACCAGGACCTGGCGGTACCATCAGAACCGAGCCGCTTACGTTCTTGTTGTAGACCTCGTTGTAGCAGTGGGAGTTCCTCAGGTACCAGGAAACCTCCATCTTCGAGGACGGGGAGCAGTTCTGAGGAACAGCTGAGACAAACACAGAGGGTCAGGGGTCAGAGGCCAGGCCGGGTCGGCCCGGGTCGGGTCAGAACTCACCTTGCAGGTGGATGCTGCTACCGTTGAACAGCGTCTTCCTGAAGACGAAGTACTGAGGCTTCTGGTTCTCCTGAAACACAACAAGAACCAGAGGATCCGACTGAACCAAACCCAGCAGCAGAACTACAGCAGAATGGCCTAGTCAAAGCCCATACCCAAACCTGACTGAAGTCCTGTTAAGAAAACTCAAAGGTCCAAAGTTCGGTTCCTGTAAATAGAATTCGGAGGTTCTGGAGGCTGTCACCCGTCCATGAGTTCGGCTGCTCTCTTAGTGACGTCACACATACGATTCTGACTATTGAAAGTCGTTAAATTCTCATTAATCTGCGCATTTCCATGTTCGCCATGTTCTGATCAAATCAGTTCATGTTCCTAACTCGGTTTAATGACTGACCCAGAATCAGCTCCAAGAAGCAGTAGAACCGAACCAGAACCACCTGAAACCGAACTCTCTCTCCTTCTCGGAACCTTTTAGCATCACTAACTTTTAGCTAACAGGAAACTCACAACGCCGACGTCCACCGTCCACTTCCCCGGTTCCGAAACGGCCCGAACGAGTCCAGGTCCGGCCGCCAGCAGCAGCAGCAGCAGCAGCAGCACCGCAGAGCAGCAGAACCCAGAGCCGGTCAGACCCGGACCAACAGAACCCGCCATTCGAACCAGCAGGACGAAGAAGGGACCAACGGAGAGACAGCTCACAACAAGCGGGACACTTCCGGGTTCATGGTGATGACGGCACATGAAGAACAGGACGGCGTTCAGGGACCGTGGGACTTTTTAAACACCTTGAGAAGGTAGGAGGTTCCATGGCAACATAAAAATTTTAAATCGTTTTCTGCTTTATTGTGTCACTTACTGTCATATTATTTCTGTTTTGTTCTCATATTTTTGTGGTGAAAAACTGAAATTTTGCTGATTAAATACCTCCCTCCGCCCCTCAGCATGACTCTGTCTCCACCGTGTTTTTATAAACAAATGGAGGTACATCTCTAAAAAAATAACCTGAAAGTTTGCTTGAGCCTGTTGGGATGTTTCATCCTCAGTGTTCATCACATTTTCATCTGAAAAATGGGGACAAAAATCACCTGATCAGAAACGAGGCTCAAACTTTCCTTTTTAATGAAGCTGATAGACGAGCTAACGTTATCCTGATCCGCTGCTAGAAACCGCTGGAAGACAAACTGAACTTCTTACTACTTTCTCCTACTACTCTGCATTTATTATTAACTGCAGTTATTGTATACATTATGGGCTCAAGCTCATTTTCCTGTCGGTCATATCAAGTTCAGGGATGTCCTCTGAAGGACAGCTATACATTAACAAGCTGTTAAAATATCACAGTGCTCTGCAGTCAGGGGTACTTCTTGAAATTAAATAATATTGAACATCTTTTCACATTTCTGCAATCTGGCACTTTAAAAATAAAATCTGATTTGATTTGACTGATAAAATATTATTTAAGGTCTCAGCTGTTGTTTCTGTCATTCTGGGGTCAGAGGGGTGAATAAATATGGTGGACCAAGTTTAACACCTGTGTAGAAAGTACAGTCAGTGCCTGTGTTTCTGCTTGGAGCTGACCCAAAGGAGACGTAAACTTGTTCTGGTTCTGGTTTCCTCCGGTTCAACTGAATCGTTTTTCTCCAATGTTTTATTATCTGATCAAACGTGTCAGTCTGAATGAGCCTGACTGTCTGCTTAGAGCAGTAGTGGCGCCAGGGGGCGCTAGGGGTCCTACAGCTCACCCTGGAAAAGTCAGACAGTTTATCATAGCAAACTAACATGTTAGTCAGTACGAAGTTAATCGGTAGTAAGTATATCATTTTTTTATCATAAGGACACTTATTGATAGTCAAATCAAGCGGTTAATTAGGCAATTAAATAAACACAAGTTAATTTAAAAAATAAATAAAACATTTGACAACATGACTCTTTGCACGTGACGTCACTCTCTCCACCACGATGGATGTCCAAACCTGTTCTCTCCTGTATGAAGCCTGTGGTAGCCTAATATCGCTCTTTTTTAGTTGATTTCGCAGTAAAATGGTCACAAAACCAAACTTGTCATTTTATTTTAATGAGGAAAGATGCAGCAGTCAGTCATGGTGACTGGCAGCTCTTGGTTTAACACTTTATACACGGCAAGAAGATTAACGGTCATATACTTTATAAGTGATTAGAAAGATATCAAATATCGCATGATGGAGAAGGTAGCGTCTACCCATCAGTAACCATGGAAACAATGCCACGCCGTCAGGTAGCCTAGCATGTTTGGGAAAAACATGATGTCTCGTCTTCTGTAGGTTTTTAATGCTGCTCTGGTTTCAGGGGAAACGCTGTTTATGACTTAGTGACATAAATCATGTGGTGTGGATTCAGGAAAAGTCGGTAATTTGATCAACTCGTCAGGAAGGAGGAGGTTCGGGTCGGTTTCTCAGCTAGCTGTTTCAGGCTTCTGTAAATACCGACGCATATGAAACAGAAGCCATGAATAAACACAGAAACAACCTGGGAAAACAACTTCCTCTGTCAATACTCCAGATTCTCACTTCCGATGTTCATCAAGGCGCTTCGACTGATTAAGTAATGTAGTTGAAAAGGGTCAACACTTCGGTGTCCCCTTTGTCATAAATGCTGTTTTAACCTAAACAATGTAATATTATCTGGAAGTAACCTGGCTAATGGCTCAAGGCTTCGTGCTGACGTCTAAGCGCCAAATAAATGCAAATCAGTCTGAAAAATAACAAAACTAATGTGTTGATAACTATAGAAAAAAAGATCCTCATAGCATCCTCAGTAAAATGCTTAGCTCCCCCTTAGCACCTGCAGAAAAAGATTCTGGAGCCGCCACTGCTGTAGAGGACCAAGGGGGGCACCAGGTGCAGCGTGGCCCTGTGGCACTAAATATAGCCACTAGGGGGCAGCAAACGTTGACTGGCCTCAGGGTTGAGAGGAGCCAGTCCGATCCAAACTGGTTCCGTTTGGATCAGGTCCGTCAGCTGTGAGCAGGACGCGCCCATCAGGACCGGAGGAACACGTTTCTGTTTGTTCATCAGTTCAGGAAATTTACAATAAAACCACTTTTATTCAGAGTCTGACTGTTAAAACTGTTCCTTTTTTAAAGGTGTTTTGGTTTGAATATTTTCTGTAAACTTTATGAATGAACATGTTGAGCTTACTGGATATTACAGTAACTTCATTATCTGCTGCTGTCTGCTGTGTGGAGACAGAATGTATTAATGTTAACCTGTTAAAATATTATAGCTCTCTGCATTCACTGAGTACTTATTAAAATTGGATAATGTTGGACATCTTTTCAGTTTTATGTAATTTGGCACATAAAAACTGATTTTTTATTTCAATAAAATAAATGTTTTATATGTATTTTCTATAAATATGACATATTTATAGAAAATATAAATATCTTATATTTTAAATGATTAAATATTATTTTAGCACTCAGCTGTAATCTTAAAGCTCTACTGGTAAATATTGTTTTCTGCTGTTATGGAAAGTCTCAAGATAAATGAGAAAAATTTTAGAAAAATGTATTTAGTGATAAATTCCTATTAAGAAAACACATTTATCTTAAAATATTGAGATTTTAACGCTAGTCCTTTAAATATCATATTTATTTAGTTTTTATTTTAGGTTTAAATTATTATTTAAAACATAAACATCTTCATGAACACATTTTTAAAGCATTATGCCATGAAAGAAAACACTGGCTTTTCCTGTTGGACCTGAACGCAACATGTTTAATCCGCGTAGTAACCTGGATGGGTTGGGCGCTGCTGGTGGGCGGGGCTAACGGTGACGTCAGGGTAGGAGGAACCTCTGCCTGGTTTTGTGGACTATGTTTCTGGGAGCGTCTCCAGTCTGCCTGTCCCCTGCAGTTCCAGCTCCGTGTCCTGGTTCCGGCTCTGGTCCTGGTTTCCTCCTGAAGCTCCAACCTTCTGTAAGTACCAGAAAACATCCTGCTTTAAACTTTACTCTGTTGTTGACCATCAGGAGCGTCACACCCACTGGTGGAAAGTTACAGGAGCCGATCTGCAGGGAGGTGGAAGTAGCTGGAAGTGTTTGTTTGGACTGGAGACGGTTTGGACGAGTTCAGGTCCAAAACATCTCAGCGTTTTAACGCCAAAGCAGCTGAGAAATCAGTTTTACCAAAACATCAATCAGCCTTTATTATGCCAAATTTTCCTCACAAGCAGCCAGATTTCCAGTTTTCATCATCCATGGACTCAACTTCCTGATATATGAATCCTTCAGAAATTAAACTCCACAGATAATTGAAAGTGTTTGTAAAAGCCCACATGATGATGTCATGAATTTATCAGCTTCTGATTGGCTGATTCACAACCTTTTTGTGGATAAAAATTCAAAGGAAATCATCCAGCAATATGAGAAGGAGAATTAGAAGACAGCCAGAAGCTTCATAGTCAGATCCATAGTGAAACGAGTCTGGTACTGACATGGGCTGAAACGCCGATCAGAGAGGAAGAAGCCATGACTTCATCTCTGCTGTCCTGGTTTGACGAGACTGAACTGCTTGGACATAACAACCATCGTTATATTTGGAGGAAAAACCATCCCATCATCCTACCTGTGAAGTACGGTGGTGGCAGCAACAAGTTATTAAGCTCAGCCCATAAAACGCCAGTGGATTCATTCAGAACAATCCGGTCCATGTTATGTTTCAGTGTCTAACTCTCAGGTGGTCATAATGTTCTGCTCAGTGTAGAACCATCATGTTCGATCCAACTCTCGGGTTGTTTGTAATGATGCAGTTAGCATAGCGTTCATGCACTTCCTGTCTCCTCAGGTCTTCTCAACATGTTTCTGACCAAGAGTTTGATCGGTGGCATCATCAACATTGTGAGGTGAAAGCTAGCGTTCCAGGCTAACGGTTTCCATTGGTTTCCATTCACTATGCTAAGCTAACCGTTTCCTGTTTTTCCGTCCAACAGCAACATCGACCCGTCTCACTTCAGACCCTCAGACCCAGTAAGTACCGGCAGCAGTCTATAGGGTCCGCTGTAGAGAGATGTGTTGCAGGCAATGTTTGTTTGACGATGAGGTGAAGAGGCCTCGTGTAGCTACATACTGGCAGATGAGGTCAAAGGTCAGATAAGCAGTAAACAGCTGCAGGAGTTCTGATGCTTCAGGGCTGAGTTTCCTCCCTGACTGTTCTGGGTTCGGAACATGTTGGGGCTGAAGGCGCCGGCTCACAGAAAGCGCCTTGTTGCTCTCCCTCAGTCTCACACAGGCTGCTTTGTTCCCCCAGCCGCCGCCACGCCGACCTCTGAACTACGCCGAGGCTCACGAGAACGATGAGGAGAAGCAGTTCAGGACGGTCTTCCATCAGCTGGCCGGAGACGTGAGTTTCATCACACTTTATCGGGTTTTTCCTGACCTGCAGCTCCGACCAGGACTAGAACCAGATCTGGTTCCAAGGTTCTGTCTGAACGAGTCTCTGGGTCTGAACAGAACCGTCTTGGACTGTAGGACCTGTTACAATTAGCTGGTCGAGTCTCTGGACGAGTCCCACGAGTTGAACCCTTAATGAACCTGAAACTTTGTTTCTGAACCAGGTTCTGAGTAGTTACAGTTACTGAGTAACAATTTTACTTCTACTTGAGTATAAACCAGTGATGGGATTGTTGACATGTATAATGAAGTTCATTTTAGGGCCTGTAATTATTTGATCACATTTTAATCAACAAAACAAGCAACATTTTTAGTTCATGAACATATTTTCGTCTAGAATAAATAAAGATGAGGTCAAAGGTGGACTAGCATAGCTCCGTTGATAGGCTAACTCCTTTTAGCTCAATTTGAACACAACTATTGTCTTTTCCATCATCCAATCAGATCATTAGAAGCAGAAATTAACCCCCAGTGGGTTGAGAGCAGCAACTTCCATCTCTGCTGTTAGCTTGTGGCTGTGCATCAGATTTACAGGCGTACCAGAAACGCACAAATTTAAAGGTTCTGGCTGGAACTTTTGTAAAAAAACAGCAAAAAAAGATTAATTGCAGAAAAAATTCTAACATTTTAAAATCGGTGTCATCAATTAATCAAAATGAGCGCATTAAAGTCTGTCAGTATTGCTGCTGGTGAGAACCACTAGTTCACAGGAAGCTCAGAGGTTCAAACTTCTAGGTTTGATCTCCTGGTTGTCATGGGAACATTTGTGTCTCTGCAGGATGAAGGGGAACTCATCATCATCATCACCTTCATTTGCATTTGTTTAATAGAATGAATTCTAGAATAGCGCCTCCTGGTGGCTGCCTGGCTCTGATTGGTTGAATTGTTCCTGATTGGACATTTATTTCCTCTGGTTTTGGATTCAGTTGGAAGGATTTTTGATCATACTTGTTTTGTTGTTGTGTAACCATGGCAACAAGGTATTGTTTGCTTGGAGACAGAAGGCGGATCATAACAGACAATGCCTCTGATTGGCTATTCGTTGGAGTTTTTCTAACCGTAGAGACAGAGAACTTGAATGAATGAATGAATGAATGAATGAATGAATATTAACCCCAGAGGAAATTCAGCAAAAGCAAAGGAGGTGGATTAGCCGAGCTAGCTAAAAGCTGAAGATGTCATCCATGGCATGTTGCTATTTCATGTCTCTGCTGCCTGGTGTTGAGCTGTTAGCGTGTCAGGATGGTCTTCAGTCAGAGGCCTCTTCAGATTCACTGCCATACTGACAGCTACTGGAGAGCCTTCCTGCCACAGCCTCATCATCCTGAAAGATACTGCAATGACCTGAGTTACGACATTTAATTTCCCTTTGGAAATAAATCCAGAAAATCAGTGAGCTTCAAAATAAAATATGAACCACGGGATGACAGGTTAATAAAACTAAACTATATTTAGTGTGATAAAAAGTGTGAGGAAAAGTTTGCTGGAAGGAAAAAGTCGTTTTAAGGGGCAGCCTCCAGTGGAGGTTGTAACTGGTTTCTGGTTCTGACCTGAGCTGAAGCTGAAGCGCTATCTGCTCTGAGACGAGCTTGGGAGTTAGCTTTACTCCTCCCTGCTGCCGTTTGTCTCCAGCCGATCTGAGCTGTCCTCCAGCTGTCAGCATCTTCATCACCTCTCACCACACCCATCTGCCTGCCAACCCACCCTCCCTTCCTCCGGAACCAGTTCCGACCCGCCCACTCCATTCCACCAGAACCGGTTCTGCTCACAGATCCCATCAGATTCTCAACAATCCACTCAAAACTTCTCTAATGTCAGAGAAACAGAGACAGGCGGCTCTCACTGGGACGGCCAAGTTGGGTTTGGAGGTTCTGGTTCTGCCCCAGAACCCGTCAGTGTCCCAATATGTGGGCAGCATGCGACTCTGTCTGGCTGCAGGTCGTTTCGCTGCATTCCTGACGTTGCTTGGCAGGGCGGCGCTGCCAAACAACTCTGTGTGTGTACTTGTTTTCATGACATATCAGGACATTTTTTTGATAATGCACCTTCATTATCAGGACACTTGGAAAGAATGAGGACATTTTTCACATCCTCATTTGTTAGTGCATACTGGACTGTTCTAGAAGGCCCCAACATGCCTCTCAGACTTTGTTGCTTTCACTGTTTGCGATTTGCATGTCTTTAAAAGTAAAGCAGTGCAGAGCATGTTGTGGAACTTGAAGTCCTGTTTAAGGAATGCAAGTAACCTTTTATGTGCTTTTGTTTTACATACTATGTGTGTGTGGGTGTGTATGAATCAGCTGGGGTGTGTGCACCAGTTCAACCAGTCAGCTCTGTCCGATGGTCACCTGAGCTGAGCTTCTGGTGGGTGGAGCCAGCAAGATCTGTGCTGCGTTTAGGAAACAAGAACTTCTCAGTGTTAGTTTGAGAAAAAGCCAATAAAGTTGTGTTCTGTTAAAGAACCAGGTTCAGCTCCAGACCTGTCCCAGACTGGCTGTCGGTGACAACAGGGGGAGTGGTTCTGGGTGTTTCTGTGTCTCTGTGGTTCTGATCCCAGTGGTGAGTCAGAAAGAGGCAGAACATCAGAGGAGAGAAGGCGAACCGGGTTGAGTCAGATTGGCTGTGACTCACTGTTTATGAGCGGAAACCCGAATCCTGGAGCGGTTCTGCTGCAGGAAGCAGCTGCAACAATCAGAGCTTACGGCCTGGACTGTGCCCAACAGAACCCACCTAGGATTACTGGGTTCTGCTGGATTAACATAGTAATAATAAATAATGAAATAAATAATAACGTTTATGTACTTATTTATTTGATTTCACATTTATGTCCTAATTAAAAAAGATGACTCTGTCTGCCTTTGTATGATCTGAACATGACCTCTGACCCTTCCTGCCTCTTGGGGGAACCACTGTGCTCAGAGACTTTTTGTTTTTTCTTTTTGTGCTGATTTATTGAAGATTGACCTCTGACCTTGGTCTTCTTTTTGATCACCCTGGAACTGAAATAAACAAAACACGAAGTTGGCTAGCTAACATCACAGACTAACTTGTTTCATGCTAACTGCGAGCTAACACATTAATGTTTATAACATTAAATATAAATAATCAAACCATTTTTACAGGAAACAAAGAAGATGATTATTTTGTCATAACCAACATTTGTTGACATTTTGATGTTGATGTCAACTTGACTCATGAACACTTCAGCATTACCGTTGGCCATTTTGGATTTTCTGATTCCTCTGTTTTCCTTTTTCGAGGAATCCAAAACAATGTCTCCAGAAACTATAATAGAAATCTGAAAAGTATGGCAGGCATCTGAAGAACTATGTAGAATCTCCTCTTCCTCTGAAACATCTGCAGGTTTGATGGAAAACAGTTTTCAGATTCTCAGCTGAGTTCAGGTCTGGACTTTGACTAGGCCATTCTAACCCATGAATCAGCTCTGATCTCAACCATACCAGCCTCAGGTTGCAGCTTCCCTCAGCGTGATGCTGCCACCGCTGTGTCTTCCAGTGAGAATGGTGCCTTCAGGAGAACAGAGTTTCCTGTCAGAGCCTCTGATCATCTGTGTGTGTGTGTGTGTGTGTGTGTGTGTGTGTGTGTGTGTGTGTGTGTGTGAGCAGGACATGGAGGTGAGCCCCAACGAGCTGAAGGACATCCTGAACAGAGTCATCTCCAGGCGTGAGAACTTTTCCTTCTCTCCAGCACCAGCTGCCAGGTTGTCGTTCCGCAGAGGTCAGAGTTCAGCTTCTGTTTTCTTGTTTCTCCTCAGATTCGAACCTGAAGACTGACGGCTTCAGTATCGAGTCTTGCAGGAGCATGGTCGCTGTCATGGACGTATCCTTTCAGCCTGCAGGCTTCGCTCTCTTCCTGCTTCTGAATTTGGCCTTTGACCCTTGACCCGACCTCCTGCAGAGCGACAGCACAGGGAAACTGGGCTTCCATGAGTTTAAATATCTGTGGAACAACATCAAGAAATGGCAGGTAGGCGGCGGCGCTGTCAGGGGCGTGTTCTGGGTGTGGCAAGCTGCTCATGGTTCTGGTTCTGTCTGCAGAACATCTACCTGTCCCACGATAAGGACCGCTCAGGAACGATTGGCTCCAGGGAGCTGCCGCACGCCTTCCAGGCTGCAGGTGTGAAACCCGGCCAGCTTAAATGATCGGGAAATGTTGGGAACGGTTTTTGATTCCACTGCTGGTTCCAGGTTTCCCTCTGAACGACCAGCTCTACAAACTCATCATACGCCGCTACAGCGACGAGAACGGAGACATGGACTTTGATAACTTCATCGGCTGTCTGGTGCGGCTGGACGCCATGTGCCGTAAGTTACTCCCAAGAAGCTCTGCTTATGGGTTTATTCAGATTTATTTCATCCAAAAGATTCATTTTAAGGTGAAACTTCTGTTAAGTTGACTTTTTAAAAATGCAGTACGGACTGCTGTTTGTAAAGCTACACAGTAAAAAGTTAACAGCAATAATTTGGGTTATATTGCCAAATACTTGGTTAGCAAGTTAAATATTTACCCCACATTTATATATTGAGTTCAATATTTAGCTTCAGGGTAAATATTGAGCTTGTTAAATAAATATTTGATTTAAAAATTTGTATTTATTTATAAATGAATGAACAACATGGTGAAAATATGACTGAGAAATTAACCTCCATTCTTTTTTCTCATGATCTGCTGTTAATTTTAGACTGCAACTTTACAAACGGCGCCCATGTAGCTCTGCATCAAAAAATATTTGATATAACTGGAGCGTCAGAGAAACTGTCTAGAAATTTTCTATAAAGTTGATTGTGATAAATTCACCAGCTTCCAGACCCTGAAGGACCTGAAATGTTTCCTCCATGAAGAAATAAAAACATGTCTTTAAAATGCTTCTCCCTGTAGCATTAACAGATAAAAATGATGATGATGTTGTGTTTGTTCTCAGGAGCGTTTAAGACCCTGGATAAGGACAACAGCGGCACCATCGACCTGGACATCAAGGAGGTTCGACTTTGCTCTGCTTTAGATTTGGTCTTGGGTCTGAAGGTTCTGTTCTGATGGACCGCCTGCTGGTGGTTAATGTTATTGCATTTCCTTCCAGCTGCATATGAGTAATTTATAGGGAATTATTTAAAGTTTCTGGTTGTTAAACCGTTCTGTAGATCGTCATTCCTTCTCCTGAAGCATCATCATTAATTCTGCTCATCATTCCTGCAGAGTTCAACATTTCAAAGCTTTTCCTGTAAAGTTTGAAATGGAAAGACGTCAAAATATTAACAATAATGGTGTTATTGAATATATCTGATGGAGCCACATTTTCTCCACTAACCTCTTCTTCGCCCCATCTTAAGTATCAGTTAAACCCTAACTAACATAAAGCTGTGCATCATCTGCATATGGTTCAATTCAACCATAATTTTGCCAGCGTTTGTGCTGCCCATGAGGCAAAACTGAGGGGAAATTTATTCCTGAGAGTTAGTTTACTGTGGTTTACTGTATCCAGACGTGTTTCATGCAGAATATCAGGTGAAGAGAGTCTGAACACCAACTGTCTCTGTCTCACAGTGGCTTCAGCTGACAATGTACTCCTGAGCAGCGAAGGGAAAACTTCTCCTGCTCTTCCTGGTTTTCTCTCTGCGGCCATAGAAATGGGACCAACTGAACAAAAAGTTTCCTCTGGGACCAAAGAAGAGTTGGTGCAGCTTTGCTTCTGCTGCCAGGTGGCGCTATAGCATCTCTGTTGCACTGATGTCTGTATTTGATTTGAAAGATCTTCATGTTGAGTCTGAAAAAATTCTCAATGTTTTAAATTTTAAAGTGACCCAACTGGAAATAAACTCTTAATTCTTTCCTGTGAGTTTGCTTTTTATTCCACACACACCAACCAGAAGTGTTATAACCCTCTGGCCTGTTAATAATTTTCAATAATGAATTATTTTCAGTTCCTTCTAAAGATGTTTAATCAGAGCATCGATCTCTTCACTGATGCTGTGTTGGTTTTTATCCAGAACCAACCTGTAAATGAAGGATCCAGGAGTATGATTCATCTGATTAGTTTAATTTCTCTGCATGTTGCTATCCTGATGTTGGAGCATGTTGGTGTTTTTCTCCAGGAATTAATCCCTTTCCTCTTCCAGGAGCCGTTTTCAGACTCCAACTCTAAAAACAGCAACATCTAAATTAAACATGAAAACTTCCACCTGATTTCCACTACAATGGAAAGTTCATTCAGAGTTATTACCTTATTTTTTATTATCACGAGAAGTGGGATATTTTAATGCTACTTTTTGTCCTAAATGTTTGTGATATTTTTTATTAATATTATTGCATACATAGGTGTTCATATTTATCAGGGATAAACAATGTCGAGCAAAAACATGCTGTAAACACTGTTAACTTAAAGATGGATGTTTTCAGGAACAAATAGCACATACAAAACACCTTTAAAAATAAAGTAAATAAATAATATGTACTATAAACAAATATCTATATATGAAAAGCAGAATTTGTGCAGGTGCTGAATACTTAATTTTTAATTGACATTTTAACTGAATTTTTCAGGATTTATTTTCCTATTAATATTTTATGAGATGTTTTTCACTTTTATGTAATTATTGTTTTTGTTGTATTTATTTTGTAACATTCTATTCTAAATATGATAACTAGATAAACGGTCATTTGAAGCAAGAAATTTATATTTATGAATACATTTGCTATTTTTTACTGTCTAGCAGTGAAGGGAGTCATCAGCTACATCATAAAAGTTATTTAAGTCTATGATCAACTACAAACAAACCATGGCTCCTGCGCATGCGCACAGTGTGAATTTAGTTCAAAAGTGATCAGCAGATGGCGGTAGTGAGCCAGTCAGATTACAGATACAGGATAAAAACTGATTTAAAACACAAACATTTTATTTGACTTCTTCACTTTTATAAATGTAAACTAAAGATATGTTATATTTTTAAATTTAAACCTAGAAAATACTTTTATTTTAAATACTTTTCAATTATGTTGGTGTTTTTTAGTGTGTGAGGATCCTTTCTGGTGCTGGGGCGTTTGCTTGGTGAGGAGGAAGAGGAAGAAGAGGAGGGTGGGGATGCTGAAGAGGAGCGACAGGTGATCGGCAGCAGCTGGCAGCTTCAAGGCGAACATCTGAAGGAAACGAGCAGAAAACAGGAGGACTGGGAGATCTGGTGAAAGGTAGGAGAGTTTCTGTCACTTTGGAGGATGAAAGCTGATCAGGGAGGAAGAGGAGCTAAAGGGAAGGATTTAAACTCTGAATCTTTCAGTCAGCTTCATCAATAATATTGATCTCTTCCTGAGTTTAACAGATAAAAAATTCAAACATTTTTACTGCCATCAAAAACTTCTGGTTAGAAGACGAGCAGAGAGACAGAAAGTCAGATAATCCAACCCGTCCTGAATGAGACCGAAGCTTCAGAATCACGACCCTTACTTAACTGAATGGACCATCATCATCATCATCATCATCATGAAGATGATTAGATCAGATCATTACGCCTCTTCCTCCTCCTGCAAGCAAACTGCTGAGTTTACAGGAAGATGAAGAACCTGGCTGATGAGATTCTGCTTTTAGATTGTTGTACAAAAATATTCTGGAAAGATGACAAACTTTTAAATTAAAAAAAATGTGAAAAATACTGTTTCACATTATAAGGGAGTTTTATTCTGAATGAAAAAATGGGGCTTTAATGATACAGAGAGTTTATATGTTTTTATGATTCATGTTAAATATGCTGATGCACTTTAATTTCCAGATTTATTTATTTATAATTATAAATCAGACTTTATATCGTCCATAAACAGACTTCACCTCTTCAAAATAAGAGCATCAATATAAACATCCAAATACTTGAACAATCGATAAAAATTTCAACACAGATGTTGAACTTTATTCCACTGAAACTTTAAAAAAGATCCAAGAGCTTAAGGATTTATCTGAAAAAATTAATGTAGTGGAAGCCAAGTGAGCTAAATGTTAGCAAAGAAGCTAAATGCTAAAAGAAGTCTGGCCACAACTGGATGGTGGTTGGATGTAATCAGAACGTCTCATTGTGTCCAGCAGACTCAGCCTCTCCTCTGACCAGAATCTGATCCAGAACCAGAACCAGAACCAGCTGTGGTAAAATGGCGTCCAGCTGTGCTGAACCGCCCGTCCTGACGGAACAGGAGGAGCTGCAGAGGAGAGCCAATCAGGTCACAGATGAGGTGATGACATCACTAGTAGCTGTAACAATTTGAGGAAACCAGATCAAGATGGTCTGGATTATTTCTATCAATAATTTTCAGATCTTCTGTTCAGCATAATAATCCATAATCTAGTCTGGGTTTGTTCATATTCCTATTGGAAAACTGGATCTATTCTCCAAAAGTCTAAAAATAACCTAGACACTGCGAGGGGATCATTGCCGTCATGGAGGCATCGCAGCAACACCTGGCTCACCTGGTTGCCATAGAGACAGCCCTAGTCAGCGGGGGGCGGCGCTAAACTCACATACACACTGTGGCTCTTATTTATCAGCTCCTCAGCGTCTCAGTGGGGACGTCCCCCAGGACAGACAGGATGTTGACAAAGGACGGCCACCGACTCAGCAGAACCTGCAGCATGTTTAAACAGTGGATCAGAACCAAAACCCAGTCAGTTCTGATCCAAATTGTCTGCAGAAAACCTGAAAACAAAAATAATCTTACATTTTAACTGAGGCAACATTTCTTTATGTTTCAGTCCCTGGAAAGCACCAGACGGATGGTTCAACTGGTGGAAGAGGTGCTCACACACACACACACACACACACACACACACACACAC